ATTTCTATTCGTTGATATAAACAAAATGGCCGCTTTGTCGAAATATCTACTTTTAAAACTGACTCAAGTGTGTCTATGTATGCGTGCATACATATGTGAAATTACTAATAATAAATACGCGTAAATAAATTCAATCGCTTAAACAAACTAACCAATCAGCTTTCGAGTCTTTTTTTTAATAGCACTTAGAATGATTCTAACGAACGAACTGGTCTGGTCGCTGTTTTATTTATGAGATGCTGTACGTTTGTTGTTGTACGATCGATGCCATTTAATTGGTTATCAAATATGCACGAACAAATGTACATTAGGGTGCGCCACCAAAAAAGTTGTGTTTTTTTTCACGGGAATTTTTAAATTCATTTTATTCTAAGACTTTCCGCCATAATATTTTGGAAAAGTTTACGTGAGCTGAACCGATTTGAAAATACCTTTATAAATCTTATAAATTTGATTCCGCTATTAAATTTTTGGAAGCTTTTTATGCAGACCTTTTAAGCTTAAACGCTTCTACAATCTGAGGTGATTTTTTAGAAAAAATGTTTTTAAAAGCTAACTTCGTTTATAAAAAACTCGGTTTTTGGATGTTTTTTTTTCAAATAAGTCCAGCTCACTTAATTCTTAATATTCTTCCGAAATATTTTGTTGAAAATTTTAAGATATATTAAATTCTATATTTCCGATGCAAAAATAGTACCGATTTTTTTTTTGTGTATGGATCACTCAGCACTCCAATGTACATACTTATATACATACTTACAAAAAAATATCTCAAAAAATCAGCACGCAGTTAAAAATTATATGAATAAATTTATATGGAAGATGTAATTTTTTCATGCTTGTTTTATCAAAATGGCATGTCTTTAGAAATTCAAGAAAGAATTTATTTACTTATTTGCATTAGTTCATTGTTTTATTTTATTTTTTAAATAATTATTCTGTTTTCTTTTTCTTAATTTCTGATTGACAAAAAACGAGTTCATTGACTCGATTTTGTGCACCTAAATAATCATTAAGATTTTATGATGTGACAGGCTTTGAATTCTTAAATAAATGCATATTACTTAAAATTACATATGTAAGTCTGGGCGTGCATACATATGAAGGTATGTACATAAAGGAGGTGCAACATTTTTTGCCCAATACTTAGTAAAATTTTAAAAATAAAAATGCGCCATAATTTTATTTTTTGAAGATTTCGGAAGGGAAATATTCTTCTCTCATCACAAAATATAAATTGTTAACGATTCTATAGCAATTTCACGAAAAAAAAATTGTTCCTCATATGAGCCAGTTGCCTCTAAAATTTTCGTTAAAATATTTTAAACTTTGTATCTTACTACACTAAGTGCTATAGTATTGCAATATTGGGATAAGACCTTTTATCCAAGAAATAAGTACACTTGACTAATAATATTTTCTTTTCTTTTCAGGTTAATAAACAATATTCAGCCACCGATTTGGAGGCTTTTATGAAAATCGCCGTCAATTGGCAGAATAGTAATCACAATTTGTTGGAAGGAGTCGATATAAAAGGAGGTAAGAATTGAATATTCCTATGTTAGGTTGGGTTGTGCGGGCAGCTCTGAAAAATAGTACACTCGTAGACTTGTGATGCCCAGAAAAAGATTTCCCCATGCCAATCTCTACATGTGTTAAAACCATACAGATTTCCTAGCGAATCATAGCAGACCCTCTAGTGGAATTTTCCTCAATCTGTCAGAACTCCCGCAGCAGTGGTCCGCCAGAATTTTGATGCGTTTTCTCTGGTCCCTCATAACCTAACGTTTGGTTTTGAGAGCCTTAGTACACTCCGTTTTCTTTGTTCATCAAACCGTAGCCAAGGTGATACAGCGCAGGTGTGCGGATTAGTCCACCTTCCGTTGCTGCCTGCTCTAGTGAGCTTCTCAACTTGTGAAGATAGAAATAATATCTCAGATCCCTTTCTATCACACTCGTCTAAAGTTATTTAGGTAAAGGGGAGTTGCTGTGAATTTCTTGCAGCGAAGTAGTCAATACACATACATACATGAAGACGGTTATTTCCTCTATCTTATCTGAAGTCCGTTGCAGCTAAGCAACCAAAGTCTCATGTGTGTCTTCGGAGTCTGACCGCTATGTGGGGCGTTAGGGCAATGTTGCGCTTGCCGCTGTGTGTTCTGCGATCTGTTGCGGTCTGAGTCGACGAATGCGGACGTAGAGTTCTGCAAAATACAGAAGGTAGGCGCTTGTTCACTAGAAGGTGCTGTGCAAGTCAGGTGCTTGGTTAAACGGCGTGTTGCACGGTGTGGAGGTCTTTCCACTACAGTCGGGTCTACCGGCACGACCTAGATCTCTATCCGACCAAGAACTGTAGCTGAATTCTTTAAAACTCTTTGGGGAATTTCTATGGTGACCGTGGAGTCCTAAGTCGCCATACAGCATAAGCATTACGGGAATAATACCTTTGTAATCTAAGGCCAGAAAATGTCTTTGGTGGCTGCATCCGTTCTGGAAATTGCTTCTAGTCAAAGTGGAGTTGCTCTGGCATACGCAGCACAAGTTGGTTGTTGGCCGGGGGTTGCATGTCAACCCAAAGCAGAAGCGTGCGGTGTAACTCTGCTGTAAGGTACTTTTCAAGGATATAGTTTGCCGATCTAAACAGAGAGCCATTCTGTTACGTAACACCGGCTGACTTCGATATGTTGCTCTTCATTCTCTTCTCTTAGCCTTTTCTATAAATTTTATAATTTCTAATAAAAATATGTTTCCTATTTCTCTCAACAGAAATGCAGCAATACATGAACAGTCCTGCCATGAATATGTACAAAAAGCGTGAACGCACACAAAACTGGAATCATCAGGAGAAGAAGTTCTTGCTTGACTTGTGTCGCAAGGACATGCGGATTATCGAAAACAAAAGACTCGATGCGGGGTTGACGGCGGTAAAGAATAAAGCCTGGAAGATAATACATCAGAAATTCTCAAGTCAATTTGGTACAGATCGCACCTGTAATCGCTTGAAGGAGCAATGGCGGCGCATGAAAGGTAAATGAGAATTGGATTCTGAAGAAATGTGAGGGTTAATTAGCCTTTTCGGTTTAATGGAATACTTCCACCTAATTTGTTAGATAGTAATTAAAAAAAAATTAAAGCAAACAAACATTTTATTTTAAACTCAAAAAACTACAGTGGATTTTTCGCGCGTAAAGTAGTTTTCGCCTATGGATTTGTCGATTTGTAGCCTAATCTGGCTGCACACTCAAAATAAATAGTATTAGCATTTGTTTTAAATGAAATAAGTTTCGATAAGGTTTTTACGCTCAAATTATAAAACGGCACTTTTTTGACTTCCAGCTTGCACGCGTAACGAAATTTTAGACTATAATAATCGTTTGGCCAGATTTGGTGCAGAGGTCGCTGATCGCAAGAAGCCATCGCCATTCACATTCGAAGTTTGGGAATTCATGCAGGAGGCCAAGAAAGCTTGCAAATCAGAAGCTTTGGATGGAATTGACTACTCAAAGATACCGTTGGCGCTTGAAGAGGATTACGAATATCGCGAAGATGAACAAAATGGCGAGGATGATCACGATATGGATGAGTAAGTGGAGGGTTAATTGAATTTTCGGAAACAGCTTTTAAAAAATAATAATAATTCATAAATAATAAAAAGGGGAGTTGTGCAAAGTTTCCTAAATTTTTTTTATCTTTTTCCGCGGAATCGCTTCGCACTAACGCTTTGTTTTCTCCCTCCCTTTACAGCAGTCGCACCCCACCACAGGAGCTCTGCGATGTCGATATCAAAGAGGAAACCAATGAGACCTTCAACGACACCGTCAACAATCACCATGAATCACTGGCGGCCGGTGAACGCCGTCCCTCCTCCTCTTCGCCGAACCTCAGCCGCCTGGGCGCACACGATCTCGAACGCGCCAGCCTACACAGTCCAGCTGGTAATTTGGCGACGGCCAGTGAACTCACCAACCCCAGCTTTCTCACACAGAACGGTGCTAGTGGCGGTGGTGCAGCGATCGGTGGCAGCGCCGGCGACATGGGCGCCTTCCAGCCTGCCTTCAACATGAGCAACATCTCCGCCACATTGGAAGCGTTGAATGCGTTACGTACCGGGCAATTTCCCTCGGCAGCCGCTGCCGCTGCAGCTGCCTTACAGAATAATTTCGCTGCCGCCGCCGCGCAGCAACATAGCCAACAGCATCAGCAACAACAGCAAATGACAACACCAAGCAGCAACGACCAGCCACTGGTTAAGCGTCCGCGCAGCTCGAGTGGCAGCGGTAATGGCGAAGAGGTGTTGCATGATTTGTCAATGAATGGCGCCGCTGCCGCTGCAATAGCCAACACAGCAACCTCACAGCTGGGCGGCAGTGCGTTGGGTATTGCGCCTAGTAGCACGCCTGAGATGCGCGCCTTCATGGATATGCAGAGCAAAGAGCATTTGATGCGCATGAAAATACTCGAAGTGCAACTGCAAGCGGCCAAATATAGTCGCGATCTTGTCGAGATCAATAAGACATTGGCGCTGCAGAAGCTGCAGGAGTTGGCCAGCAAGCGTCTGACGAGCTAAGTGCGGCGGATGAAAAAGTGCGAGTAGTAGACGCGTGTGGAAGCGGAAGTGGAAGTGGAGGAAGTAGTATTTATGAGAGTTGCTTGCATGGAAGCGCTGCTGGCGTGCTTTTCGGCGTTGGGAATGGGATGTAAGCGGAAAAAGGCAGCAACGTGGCGCGGAGATAAGCGCTTCAAGTGGCAACCGCTCGTGTTTTCGTTACATACCTACATACATACATATGTAGCTACATATTACTTTTTATTTATCAAACGTTTGAAGAATTATTATAGTTTTGTTTGCTCTTTTTTTTGAATAGAAACAACATTCCTGTTAGCGTCAGTTCAATACAAACCTAATTTACTGTTATTAGAAATAGTTGCTCTTCTTTTCATTGTTACTGTGTTTGAAGTCACAAATTTTAAAGAATACAAAGAAATATGGAATATGAAGTTAATAAATAAAAAAAAAAGTAATTTTACTTAATTTTTGAAATAATTTTCGCCAAGACAGTATTTACAAAGTAGTTATAACAGAGTGATAGAAAATGTATTAAAAAATAAAACAATCCTTTAGGTATGCAATAGTTAACACAATAGCCCTACCTCAGTGGTCACAACCATGTTGCATAGTAAGAAATATAAACAGTTGAAATTAGCTAACAAACTTTAAAAACAAACTTGTTATTGGTTAAAAATAAATTCAGTTTGGTAACATCGTTTCGGAATGTACAAAAAGTTCGCCCTATATATGTATACTACATACATGCATACATAGGTATGCACATACCTTTGTATGTTGCTTATTTTTAGTGTGCTTATCTAATTAAACCTCAATTTTGCAACCAAGCAATGCTTGATTTTTAAACGCTGATAGGCTCCACAGAATTGCTTTAATTTTAACTTAGTAGTAAGCTAGTTGAATTCGGAGTGTGGGCGGCAAACAGCTGCGCTTAGATAGCTTAAGCTCGCAAGCCATTAACGGCAACCCGAAAGCCGTTCTTTGTAAATTAAATTATGAGAAAAGCACGACGAAGTTCCAAAATTTTGGGCCAATTTTATGGGCCATTGAAACAAAAAGAAAATATTCTAAATACACTCAACATTTCTGGGGTGCCAAAAACTCAAAAATTGTGTAACCTTGATTTTTTTTTTTTGGAAATATAAAAACGGTGTTGAATAAAAATTACAACAATTTGTTCTCCGATTAATCTAGTTCACGTTAACTATATATGTATATGGAAAGCAACAGTCTGTTCTGGAAGAACAATATTATAAAAATTAATAGAATAAAAATCAACACTAAGAGTAATAAATGTGTAAAATTGAAATATTTTTGTACTTATAACACTTGTGTAGCAATACATGTACATATATTAAATTCATAGTGTAAAGAAATGTTGCATAAACAATAAAATGAAATACAAAAAAAAAAAAAAAAATTCCACATAAACAGTGAAAATGCAACTTTTATATACAATTGTTACAAAGCGCAAATCACAAAATGAAGATAACTTTGAAAATAAGCAAATATATAGTTATTTTGTATATGTAAAAGTGAATTAATTACTTAATTTTATTGAAAGTAAATATTTTAAACAAATAAGCACTTAAAAGGCGCAAAAGTATTCACTGGAGTATTGTAACTAGTATCTTTTCTTTATTAAATTTAAGTTTAAGTAATATTGTAAACTTAAAGTTAACCTCTCTGAAAATGAAGAAGAACAAAACTTTTACTTTAATCCATAAGAAAACTAAATTATTAGAAGTATGTATTAAAGCGTGAAGCTTTCAATAATTCTTTTAATACATATTAGGCGTGTTTTTTTTACACGCGTACGTATCTGCGCTTAAAATTTATATAACCGATGCTTGTTTGGTTTACACGTTGAGCGCAGATGTATATGCGTGTAAAAAATACGCCCATTATACACTTCTGTTTTTTAGTGTTTGCTTTGGTTATTAGTTTTGTACTATTATTTTTATTATTTATTTTTACTAATTTTTTGTGTTTTGATAATTTTTTTTTGTATAATATTGAATTTTTTTTTATTCATTTAATGTTTCTCAAATTTCTGTAAAAACGTATTATTTTTAAATTTAGTTAAAGCTCGTTTTGCCATAGAAACAAAAAAAAAACACGCGTATATTTTGCTTTTAATTTGTTTAGAGAAGTTGGAAAATTACTTAAATAAAATCACTTGAAATACTTAAAAAAAAAAAAAATTGTGTTGAAACAATACCCACTTCACAGTGTGCAGTAGACTGTAAATAAATGTACACATACATAAATAAATAGTGAAAACTCGTTACAATAATACACACTTGCAAATAAGTGAAGTACTATGTGTGAGTAAGTAAAAACATTAGTGCGGAGTGTATTTGCGAGTTGCACCCATTGCATTAATTGTTTGATTACTATATAAGTATATAAGTATTTTTGAACAAAAATTAGTTATACAGCTATGCTATTATACATACATATATCACAAATAAAATCAAATTTTATCAATTTGAAATTAACTACAAAAAGAGTGTTTATTTACTTTATATGGTTATGTTAGGTTATGTCGGGTTTTAGTATACATTAGTTGCGTTCCCTAACTCGCAAGAAGTTGCAAAGTAGGGGAAAAATGGGAGAGTAAAATCGGGCCTCTCTTTGTGAGAAGTTGCAAGATTTTACCCGACAAATTTTTTTGGTAAAATCTGGTAAAGCGTCAAACCGTCAGCTGTTCAAATGATTTGAAAGTTAAATAATCAAAAAAAGTACATCTGCTTTCATTTCACCTTCTTAAATATATCGATGCGAAGAAATATGAAGCATTTAGCAGATCGGCTAATTAAAAAAAAAAACTGCTATGTAAACAAAAAATGGCGCCACCGTGTATTTGACAGTTTTACCAGTTTTTACCCGAAAAGCGTTCTCGTACTTTTTGGCTTTTCTCTCTTTCTCTGAGAGCAATTTTGCTTTTTGACAGTTTTACAGGTTTTATCCAGAAAAGTTGAGGAACGAAACTATGAAAAATATCGAAGAGAATACTCCGTGCTCCTCAAACTATCGCTGGAAATTACTCCATTCCACTTATACTAAAAAGTACTCAGAGGTTGCCGAGATAGGCCGATATTACACTCAGGTATTGATTGGATCTAAACAAAATTAGTATGGGACCACCTGTGAGACACTATTTTTCTAATAGAAGAAGAATTATCGAAATCGGTTGAGTAGTCCAAAGTTATGCGATAACATACATAAAAAAAAATATATATTTCGACGAATCGATAACCTTCTCCTTTTTTTGAAGTCGGTTTTAAAACAGGTAGGGCCAATGCACATTGAACAGATAGTATCAGTATTTTCAGCAGCTTATTTAATTTTTTTCAGATTATTTGGTCTCGAAAATTACAAATTTTTAAGAATTTTTTCTCACAAAAATTGTAAATTATTAAAATCTATTTGCATGCATGATAGAAAAACGAAGGTAGTTTCACTTAATGGCATGAGCATCCATGTTAGCCATTTGATTTTTGCTGGGATTATGACATTTTCATCAAAATGTAGCTACCAGATCGAAAATTATAATAAATTTGTTCTTAGTATTTGATCGACAAAGCAAAAAAATATTTTTTTTTAAATAAAAAGAAAAATGAGTTGCGCATTTCGAAAAATGCAAAATACCACTACAAGGCGATAAAATTTTTTTTTAATTTCCAGCGCTTCTTTTTGTGAGACAAAAATGGTTTGATGCCTGCGGCGTATGTATGTTCTCAACATTTTACCACCACGGATATTAGCATTAGCCAGTACCAGACCACACTATCCAGAAGTGCAGTGCCGAAAGGTAATGAAAAACTGTGTTGGCCAAACATAGAAAAGGAATGGACTTTTCTTACTTCACTGCCTTTAAATTAATTATGTTTTGTTTATGGTTTGTTGAATTCATTAAATCAAAACATTTAATAATGTTAACGCAACATAGTACATACCTACAGATCAATTTTCAGTTTTGTGGTAGTGGTGAGAAATTCCATAAAAGTAAGTACATATGCCATTATCCGTTGTATTTCGAAGTAAAATTGCAGTCTTTTTATGGACATATTTGCAATACATATGTACTATATCCCCGGTGACCAGATTTCTGTTGCGAAAAATCGGGACATTTCTAAAGCATCGAATTCGAACATACAATTTTTTTTTAGAATAAAAAGGCCTAATACAGTTTTATTTAAAACAAAACAAGAAAACAAGAAATGGAAAATAATTATTTTTTTATGAAAATATAACTTACTATCTAAATAAACATGTAAACCAAAATCATAAAATTTGTAGAACGATTGTAAAAAATTGACGAATTTGAAATCAAAAAATCAATTTTTTTAGTTTTTGACACTTTTGATACTACACCTTTTCAACCCAGTAATGAGAAAACGTAAGTTTACAATGA